CGCCCTTCATAAGTGCTGGAGCCAGACTTCCACAAATCTTTCCCCGCAACATGCCAGCCTCAAGAAAATCCTCTGGGACCGGCAAAAAGCACTCTTTGCTGAAGCACCTCCAGTGCCGTCAGACGTCGCCACTCCCTTTTCTTGGGGGTCGGCGGCACGGCGTCAGCCCTTAAATAATAATCAAGAAATCAGATGCGCGACGCTTTTGACTCAACCGTGTAACTTGCCGAAGCGATAGGTCCGGAGGGCGTGGTTTGGGGACCATGTTGCTTGAAGATTGAAGTGCTCCGGTGCCCAATGATCCAGTGGAACGACGTCCGCCGTTCAAGAGGAAGGTTGAAAGAAGCTGTGCCAGTCTGGCACGACGGATGTCAATAATGGTCCCACTGTCGGTTGGGAATTCGTGGAAACAGCTTCCGCGTCTCGACTGACTCAGGAGGCAAACCGACAATGGAGCGTTTGACTAACGGCCGGTTGCATCCCCTGGCCAAGAAAAGCATTTCCCTGACTGTTCACGAGGTACAGGGATCCCCGCATGTGGGATTGGTTTAGCTGTTGCTAGCTGATTTTGAGTACACTAGTCGAAGGTTCTCTTCGAAAAGGTTGCTCCGCGCGGAGACACACTGCCGCATGCTGTTCTTCAGCAGCAGCAGCAACAGCAACCGCCAGAGTTGCTGGAGTCGTTGCAGCCTTGGAGGAACAACGAAGAAGGCACAGACCCAGAACCCTGGATAAACCATGCCAGGGAACAGCAGCCAGGCGTCGACGAGTCCAGAAACACGTCTGCTGCGACAGCGGAACCCACATCCTTGCAAAGGAGAACTTTGTAGAACTTGGCGACAGACATTGCACTGGCCTCCTCTATGGTCGGATTTGGCGAGTTGAAGAACCTGCACCGTAGCTGCCGCATAGCTCACAAACCGCTTCATGCTTGTTTTCAGCCAAAGGACAGGAAATCCATGTAGATCGTGAAGGACAACAGCAGAGCTCTCCAGGCAGGGTCCTGGTGGCTCTGCCATGGTTGGCCGAGATTGCTAAGCAACGGTAAGCACACGTCTTCCTCACTTCACCGTCCTGGACAAGCTCGAACTGGATCTTGTAGTTGTCCACGTCCGAGGCAAAGATCCAGGTAAACTTAGACAACCATTCGGAAAGCGGCTTAGCGCTGTTGTGCCAAGAGAGAGCCTAACAAGAGATCTGCCAGGGGGCCACGTTGGGCACTTGCTTCTGGATGCTCGCCACCTTGACTCCTGCCCGCTATGCTCGGCTTGGGACTGAGGGAGGACATAGAGCTACAACTTAATGTCGCGCTACTAACAGGGGTACCTTGTGTTCTGAGGCTTATTCATGATCGCCGCATTGCTTAAGGGACTTTAGCGTACCTTGTTTTAAGTCAAGTGTTCGAGGCGACATGGATCATTTGGGCATTCTAAAGCTTGAAAATGAATTTGCTTTGATTTACTCCGGAAAGCAGTTGAAGGTTTGAAAAGCCGGAAGAGGTCCTACTACAGAAGCCATGTTTACAAAGCCTTTGGCTTTAGAGCTTTCTCGCTTGGATCTCCAAACTCAAGAGCTCCAAATCACGGAGCTTCAGCTAATACCAATTACCTACTTTGCCTGGCCCTCAACTATAAGTCTCTTTCTATCAAGATTTAAATCTTGGATCTCTAAACCAAAGACAGGCTGAAGAAGCCGAAATCGTTTCATCTCTTAAGCTCATGCCCACTCCCCAGCTCAATCCCAAGCTAGCTACTCATACAGGATACGAAATACTACTCCGCCGACCCCGCTCTGCGGGTCG